GGAACAGCTCAGCCCCACCGAACACCCCAAAAGGGGCACCTGCCACCATCCCAGCCAAACCCCATTCCAGGGATGGGGCAGCCGCATTCCCTGGGAATTCCCTGGGAATTCCATCCCAGCCCCCCACAGGGAACAATTCCTTCCCAGTAGCCAACCAACCCTGCCCTCTGGCAGTGGGGAGCCGTTCCCGTTCCTAATCCCGTTCCCGTTCCCAATCCCGTTCCCGTTCCCGTTCCCATTCCCAGGCACAGCCTCTCCGTGGGTTCTCCCCACGTACGAAAATCCCGGCCAGGGGCTCCGATCCCGCCGCGGCTCCCGGAGGATCCCGGAGGAGCCCGGGCGCAGGAACGGAGCCTGCACACCCGGTGGCAGCAAAGAAACGCGCAGGAGAATCCCGGGAAGGGCCGGGATGGAGAATCCCGGGATGCTGGATGAGCTGGGTGATGGGCAGGGATGAGAATCCTGGGATCCTGGAGGATGGACAGGATAGGAGAATCCCAGGATTCTGGGAGATGGGCAGGATGGAGAATCCTGGGATCCTGGAGGATGGGCAAGAATGAGAATCCCGGGATGCTGGATGAGCTGGGTGATGGGCAGGAATGAGAATCCTGGGATCCTGGAGGATGGACAGGATAGGAGAATCCCAGGATTCTGGGAGATTGGCAGGATGGGGAATCCAGGATCCTGGAGGATGGACAGGATGGGGAATCCCAGGATTCTGGATGATGGGCAGGATGGAGAATCCCGGGAACCTGGAGGATGGACAGGATAGGGAATCCCAGGATTCTGGGAGATTGGCAGGATGGGGAATCCAGGATCCTGGAGGATGGACAGGATGGGGAATCCCAGGATTCTGGCAGATGGGTGGGATGGGGAATCCCGGGATTCTAGGGGGTTGGGTGGGATGGAGAATCCCAGGACCCTCCCGAGCCCATGGATTCCCGGGCTGGCTGAGCTGATCCAGCACATCCAAGCTCCAGGCGTGTTCCAAGATGGGATTCCCTTCTCCCTAATTCTCATTTCTGGGGTTTCAGCAATTCCCAGGAGTGCCCCTGGCTGGGAGCACCCTTGTGGGGCAGCTCCTGCTCTGCTCACAGCCCCGGGACAGCCCTTGGCATCCCTGCGGAGCCAGGAACGGATCCAAACGGGATTTGGGGAAGGAATTGCTCCTGCGAGGGTGGAGGCCCAGCTCTGCAGGACCAGCCTGCCCCAGAGGCTCGGTCCCACCCGGGGAAGGAAAGGCGGGATGGAGCAGGGAAACTGAGGCACGGAGCTGCTCCATT